GATTGACCCAGCCGCGGGGACCCTCCGCGGGGCTTCTGTGGCTCTCAGTCAGGCGCACGTCTCACTGTGCCTCAGTTTCCCCAGCTGCCTCCAGGAGGCCCTGGAGCCTCCTGCCTATGACATCGTTTTCTGTGGTCTGGTTGGGCAGAGAGCATTTATGAAGCCCCAGCTGTGTACCAGCAGGCGCGCTCGTCGTGTGTGTGTGTGTGTGTGTGTGTGTGCTTGTGCGTGCGTGTGCATACGTGCGCGTGGTGTGTGTGTAAGCGGCTAGCTGAGACTGAGTTTCCTTAGGGATTCACAGTGGAACGGGCTAGATGTCAGTCCGCCTGCCCACGCTGTCAACTTTTATTGAGTACTTGCTGTAGTCAGGGCCTTAAGCTAGACATGGACATGTCCGGCTGCCGGGGTCAGCATGGGGGACACAAAGAGGGACCCAGGTTGATGAAGAGGGCTCTGCCTGGGGAATCCAGCTGCATGGGGAGAAGCCTTAAGATGGGGGCTTTGAAGTAGGGACAGGGGTCTTCCAGGTGGAGGCAGCGCTTTTATTCGTGTTCTGGCTCCTGTGAAGGGCAACAAACACAGTAATGAGCAAGAAGCCGGCGTCTGTGCCCTCCCGGATTCGGGAGAAGGAACGAGGTGGCCAGGTTCTGGGATATGGAGGGTACTGGATGAGGGGAGACAGGAGGCTGCAGACTCAGCAGCCAGACTCCCAGATTCTGTACCAATCTTGTAGGCTTTCCTGAGGGCACTGGGGAGCCATGGAAGAGTTTAGAGCAGAGGAGAAATTCAGACCTTTGCAGAAAGGAAGCTTCTCGTTTTGTTAACTTGAAGGTGGCTACAGCCTCTCCCTAGGCTCCCTTCGTGGGTCAAGAGGTGCTCACTTACTGTGCCCCTGGGCACACAGAGGCCGAGGGAGGAGGGTGAGCCCTTGGGAGATGAGTGCTCTCAAGGGGAGGGGATGGGTTCCTCTCCTCCACGGGGACCCAGGGACACAGCAGTGCGGCTGCTCAAGCCCTGACCCACCTTCGAGGAGGATTAAAGGGGAGAATGGGATGCACCTGCACTCGGAGGGTCACACCCGGGAGACACCGGCCCTGCACAGTCCAGGAGGTCCTGGTCGTGGCCATTAGAGAAATTTGAATATGGAGTTGGATGATCACATCGTGGATGGGCGCGCGCGTGTGTGGAAGACGGATGACCCACGGGCGGATGGAGGAAGAGAGGTCTGGCGGTGGAGGGGGGCAGGCCCAGCCCAGCGCACGCCCCACGCCTCCTCGTCTGGCGAAGATGGGTGATCGGCTCCTTCACAGATTTGGCTTTCAGACTTGGCAGAAATTTGAATATGGAGTTGGATGATCACATCGTGGATGGGCGCGCGCGTGTGTGGAAGACGGATGACCCACGGGCGGATGGAGGAAGAGAGGTCTGGCGGTGGAGGGGGGCAGGCCCAGCCCAGCGCACGCCCCACGCCTCCTCGTCTGGCGAAGATGGGTGATCGGCTCCTTCACAGATTTGGCTTTCAGACTTGGCTCTGGTTTTAATTTTTGTGGGTTCTTGGATAAGCTCCTTCATCTTTTCTGAATCTGAGCCACGGTGGAGCAGATGAAACTATTGATGTCTGTCTCACCGAGTAGGTGTGACGAGGAAAATGACTTCATCCTGTGGGACTCGTGGAATTAGGCTCAGTGCTTTCCTGCATGCAACAGTGTCCCACATACAGTCTGGCAGCCAAACTGTCGAGGAGGACTTGCTGAGTCCCTGCTGTTTACACCAGGCACCGAGCTGGGCTCCAGATACATCAAGCAACCCAGGGAGGAGAGAACGACCACACACACACACACACAGAGTTTAATTGATGCGAATTGTGACAAAATAAGTCGTGATAAGTGTTACCTTGGCAATGAAAATGAGGTGACGTTTGACATGAGACCTGAATGGCAAATGAGAAAGAAGGCTGTTGTTCTAAAGCAAAGGAATAGGTGGTTCAGGCAGTGGGCAAAGCATGTGCAAAGGCCCTGGGACAGGGTGGAGCCTGGGATGGCCCAGAGCATTGAGGAGCCCTTGTGGCTGCAGCAGAAGGAGCTCGGGGTGGAGAAGGAGGAAGGGAGCTGGGGAGGGGCCATCAGGTCATGCAGAGCCCTGTGAGCTGCAGGGAGGACTTAGGCTTTGGCCCAGGGAGGTGGGAACCATGGAGGGCTGAGGGCGGAGGGGGAGGACCTGACTCAGTGCTCACAGTGCCCTCTGGCTGTCGTGGGGTGAGGGTGACAGCTGGGGACTATGTGAAGGGGACTGGCCTGGACCCTCTGGAGGGTTTTGGGTTGGGGGGGTTGTTTTTTTTGTTTTTTGAGACAGGGTATCACTATATAGTGAAAGCTGGCCTTGAACTCACTATGCAGCCCAGGTTGGCCTCGAACTCACGGTGATCCTCCTGCTTCAGTTTCCTGAGTGCTGGGACTAAAGGCGTGCACCGCCACAGCCAGTTTAAGTTTTTTCATTAAAAAAAATTTTGTGCATGCAGACATGTGTCTCTGCATGTGTTCAAGCCCTTAGATCGGTATGACAGACTTTAGTAGATGAAATCCTCCCCGAATGCCACTCTTTTCCCAATCTGGGTACAAATCCAGAAGTTGTTTCAGACGTGCTGTGAGGCCTCAAGGAGGCTACTGTGCCTCTCTGAGCTTTGGTTCTCCAGTCCATACCATGAGGATAAATCTAAACATGAACAGAGTCAGGTTCCAGGGGGTGGCTTGTACCTGGAGCTCAGTCCATTACCCAGGACCTTCTCATTTGCCACAGGGACCCTGTGTCCAAACAATGACATTCAAGGTTCTAAACATCTTTTTTTTTCTTTCTTTTTTTTAAGGTGGGCAATTTAACCCACAGCATCCTTTTATAAGAGGTGATCAAAATTCTATGATGAATGTTTAAATTTTAAAATGTCTTACAAACAGGCCAGGCGTGGTGTGCACACCTGTAATCCCAGCACTCAGGAGGCTGAGGCAGGAGGATCGCTGTGAGTTCAAGACCAGCCTGGGCTACATAGTGAGTTCCAGGTCAGTCTCAACTACATAGTGAGACCCTGTCTCAAAACAACAACAACAACAAAAAAGTCTTACAACAAAAGCCACAGTGCCACGAACCCCCCTCACAATCCCCCACGCATACACACTTTGAACTCACCGATCCCACGCTTCCGGCCATTTCCGCAGCAGCTCGGGCATCCTATTTCCTGAGGGTCTTTACCAGGCGGGATCGAAATTTGGCTAACGCTGCTGCACAGCGCCACCCAGTGGAAAGGCGGCCCACGAAAAACGTGACGCTGGGTCCCTGCCCCACCTTCGTCGTTGGATCCCGCAATTGTGCGACTTTCTGCGCTTGATCTTAGCCAAATGGGCCGAGAAGCGATTTGTGCGACTTTCTGGATCTTCCCCAAAGACCACGACAGGGAAACTTCTTTTGGGTTTTTTTTTTTTTTTTGGTACCGGGGATCGAACTCAGGACCTTACGCTTGAGAGGCAGGCAGTGGAACCCCTGAGCCAAATCCCTGGCCCAGGGAAACGTTTTGAATCCATTCAGGACGTGGAGGCAGCCAGGACGGTGTGATTAAAAGACACTCAGGAAAGAGAACTCCAGAGCTGCTGCAGGAAGGGGCAGGGACTATGGGCTGAGTGTGTTGGGGGCTTCTGAGAGGGTGCTAGTGGGAATGTACCGTGTCCTGTGATGTTTGTTTTTTTTTATTTTAAACGTTCACTATTGTTTCCATCACAGCTCCTACAACCCACCTCCCAGTGAGGCCCCAGCGTCCCCTCCCCACTCTGCCCCCTGGGTCCCAGCTCCTGTCTTGAGATAAAAGATGAAAAAAAAAAAAGAAAAGAGTTGGGAAAAGATCTCAGTGCAAAGGGCCCTTGGATCCCAGGAGAGAGAGAGAGAGAGAGACGCGTGGGGCTGGACCCTGAAATCCTTGGGTCACTTGGTGCCTCAGTTTCCCCTCTGTGAATGGGGTGAGACTAGGATCGCGAGGCTAGCAGCTGTCACACCGCCCTCTTGGTCTCACACATCGCTGTGAGATGCCTGGTGTTCCATGGACCTTGAGGGACGTCACAATAATATTTTTTTTTTTCCACCAGGGATTGAACTCAGCATGTTGTGCTTGCAAGGCAGGCAGCAGAACCACTGAGCTAAATCCCCGGCCCACGATAATATTATTGTGTAACCTTTACTTGAATTGAATTGCATCCCTTTCCCCCCGTCAAGCCTCGTCCCCTGCCTATGTGCAAAAGCTTTGTTTCCATTTTTCCTTCTATTTTCACTGTTTTTCTTGTCCTTCCCGTCCTTTCTGCCTCCCTCCTCCCTGTTCCCCTTCCCCTTGGAACCATTTTACTCCCCTTTCCCAGCATCCATTATACATCTCAGCCCTTATTTCCACCACGCAGTATTTGACACGTGTGTCCGATTTATTTTGCTTAAGAGCGTGGTCTCAAGGGCCATCCGTTGAACCATAACTGGCAGAAGCTTGTTCTTCTTTATGGCAGAGTAGTACTCCACTGTGTACAAAAGAGCACATCTTCTTTAGCCCCTCGTGAGTTGATGGGCATCTGAGCTGTTTGCAAGATTTAACGATTACAGATTGTACTGCTGCAAACATGGATGTGTCACTATTAAGAGTCTTGAGGGCTGGGGATTTGGCTCAGTGGTTTTGCCACCTGCCTCGCAAGTGCAGGGACCCAAATTCGATCCCCGGTAAATAAAAAATAAAAATGAAAAAGGCTCAAGATTCTGGAAATGGAACCTCTGGACCAGAGGACAGAGGGTCCTTGGGAAGGGGGCCCTGCTTGCTCCCCTCCACCAGGGGAGCTGGGGCCAGGGCGCTAGACGTTATCTTAGGAAGCCTTTCTCCGAGTGCCCCAGGGACTCCCTGCCTCCGTTGGTCCCCAGCCTGCCCCTGGGTGCTGGGAGACTTTGGGGCATCACCTGTGCGACCCCAAGACCCACTCGTGTTCGCGGTGTGACAGTGACGACTGAAGTGGGGCTGACGGGGTTGTGCAGCATGGGCGAGACGGGCAGGAGGTCCTCGCAGCTGGGCCCGACCTGTCCAAGTCCCCAGGGCTCAGCCAGCACGGGGCGGGGCTGCTGTGGGCCAGGCCCGGGCCCTGACAACGGGCCAGGTGTGTACAGCTGGCCCAGGCCCCTCTGCTTCCCGAGGTGCCAAGACCCCAGGTCTTGCCCCACCCCAGATCCAGCCCCGTGCCCCCAACAGGCCACTGTGCTTTAAAGGCCGCTGCAGGACCCGTGACCCGCCCTGAACCGTGAGAAAGATGCCAGCCCTGACTAGGGTAACCCTGCAGCGAGTGCGCGGGCCATGGAGCTTGGCTGCCTGGGCTTCAACCCTGGGTTACCCGGCGTGGCGGCATATATCTGTAATCCCAGCACTCGGGAGGCTGAGGCGGGAGGATCGCTGTAAATTCAAGGCCAGCCTGGGCTACACAGTGAGACCCTGTTTCACAAAGCAAAAAAAGTGGCATTTATTGTCTCACAGTTCTGGGACTGGAAGGCTGAAGTCACGGCGTGGGCAGAGCTGCTTCCTTCTGAGACCCCGAGGGGCGATTGTCCTCCCAGCCCCTGGTGGCCTCCGGGGTTCGGGCTTTATACTGAAGTCCCGGTCTCTGCCCGCCTCCCGCGGAGAAGTCCCCGAGGGGCACCGGTGTCTCTTCAGCACCAGGGACAGCGGCCGGGCTCCGGTGGGTTAGGCTAAACTTCCAGACCCTGGCGCTGTTTTGCTTAAAGTTGACTCCAAAGACCTATTCTTGCCGTCCCAGGGCCACCGCCCTCCGAGTCCCGCACACGAGGACTTGGAGGAAATACAGACCCACGGAGGGAGGGTTTCCGCTCTGGCTTTACATCTGCGCACAGCCCGGTTTCTCGATTTCTGTCAGACCTTAACGCTCAGGTGCCTTAAGGTGGTTCTTTTTCCTGAAGAGCGTGGGGAGTAAAATTTAGAAAACAGAAACCTCAAGAGGAGAGAAGCCAGGTGTGGTGGCGCACGTCTGTCATCCCAGCACTCGGGAGGCTGAGGCAGGAGGATCACCAAGAGTTCGAGACCAGCCTGGGCTACGTAGTGAGTTCAAGGCCAGTCTGGACTACAACGCGACTGTCTCAGAAACCACAGACACACACAAGCACACACATACACACAGAAGATAAGTGTGGCTTTATGAGTATTTGTTACATCCACACTCACATTTTCTGCACTTTCTTTGAAGGGAGGAGTAAGTACTATGCCCCAATTATTATGATGATGTTTTATTTTTTTAATTATCGTAATTTTTTGAGAGAGTCTCACTGTGTAGTGCAGGCTGGCCTCGGACCCATGACGATCGCCCTGCTTCAGCCTCCAGAATGTTGAGCTTACGGCAGGCACCACCACACCCGGCTGTGATTTTTATTGTGGTAAAATACACACGACATAAAATTTACCAATTTAACTTTTTTTTCGTTTGGTACTTAAGATTGAACTCAGGGTCTTTGCGCTGAGCTCCATCCCCAGCCCTTATAAAATTTTTTTTCTTTTGAAACAGGGTCTCAGTAAGTTGCTAAGTTGCCCAGGCTGGGCTTAAACATATTGCCCTCCTGCCTCAGCCTCCTGAGTGCTGAGATTATTGATGATGCTGGGCCAAATTAACCATTCCTAAGTGTACAGCTCAACAGTATTGAGTGTATTGGCCTGGCTGCACCATCCCTGCCGTCCACCTCCAGGACCTTCCATCTCCCTCATCTGAGCTGTGTCCCAGGAAACACTGACTCCTGTCCCCTCCCCAGCCCAGCACCACCGTCCTTCTTCCTGTCCCTGTGGGCCTGACCACGCTGGGGCCTCCTAGGAGTGGGACCCTGCAGTGTGTGTCCTACTGTGTGTGCGTCTCAGCTACCAGAGCAGCACAGCCTCAAGGCCATGCCCAGTGTCGTGGTGTCAGGACTTTGTTCCTTTTTCTTGGCAGTGTAATATTCCCATGGGTGTACTACTGATTGTGTTCATTCTGCTATTGGTGGCACTTGGCTCTTTCTACCTCCTGGCTTTCAGGGGTCGTACATTTGTAATGTGGGTGTACAGGCTCCCTCTCAACCCCCTGTTTTTCTCCCCCACTGTAGGTTGTGCCTTCCTGACCTACTGTGCCAGGGACTCCGCCATCAAAGCTCAGACTGCCCTGCACGAGCAGAAGACCTTGCCTGGGGTGAGTCCCTGTGTGGTGGGGAGGAGAGGGTGCCGGGCTTTCCCTTCCTGAGATTGGCTGGGAAATCCATGTGCCTGCCTCTAGACTCAGAAAAACATATAAGAAGTGGAGGGGTAGAGATCTTGTTCAGGGTGAGCATTTATTGGATACTACTGTGTGCTATGTTCTAGACTTTGCAGCAAGGTGGCTGTGTATAGTTGTTCAGGTTGTATACTGCACGAGCCTGGCCTGGAGTGCATGTGTCATTGAGCAGGGACCTAAAGGATGAGGAAGCATTAACAGGTAGCTGTGCAAAGGCCCCGGGGCAGGAGAGAGCCCGGCCCATTGCAGTAGCATGAGGGAGGCCCATGTGGCTGGAGCAGAGGGATCTAGGGGCAGAGAGGGGGCAGGGGAGGTGGGGAGACGATACCACTCTCTGGGGATAGGAGACATGGCTTCAGTGTGTTTCAGCTCTCAACAAGTAGCACAAGTGCTGTGGCTTAGGCAGTGATGTATGAGCAGGTCCCACCGGTCATTACTGTGTGACAATGAGCCAGTGACCTAACCTCTCTGGTCCTCACACTAAGTCGCAGTGCAGGGTGGTGTCAGACACTGCAGAGAAAGGGGTCACGGAGGGCTTGGGTGAGGAGGTGACATTAGCGACAAAAAAAAACAGACACTGACGTATCAGTTCCTTCCCTGTTGTTATATAATGAAGTACCTGGGGCTGGAGACCTGAGGGAGAAGGGCGGTTTATCAAGCTCATGGTTCTGGGGGGCCAAGGGCCTGGGGCTGACGTCAGTGCTTCTCTGGCGAGGACCCCACTACGTTACAACACGCGGCGCTGTGTGACAGGGAGGAGTCACGGTGCAAGACAGGAAGCCGGGTGGGGGAGGGGTGGGCCCATTCCATTTGTTTATTTATGTATTTTTTATTTGTGGTGCTGGGATTGAACCCAGCGCCTTTGCCCTGAGCCTGAGCTACATTCCCAGCCCTTTAAATTTTTTTTTTTT